TTCAGCATGGCCATTTTAGCCAAGAATTTAAAGGAGAGACAAGCGCCCGTTTCCCTGTCACACAATCCACCTGCTTTACAGTTGCATGTTTTCCGACATTCCATGCCATATGTTCCGTACATGCAGTCTGATAAGAGAAAACACAAACAGAGCCATTAGAGGATCTGTACCACAACTTTAACACTGGTCATTAACAAAGACTCTTCTTGAGGATATTTGCTCATTGCCGATCCAGTGTTTGTGTTAAAGGCTCACTTATGTCTAAGACTCGGGGTAAGACTCAATTAAATGGCTGAGTGTGAGTAATCGGTGTGGAAGGAGTGTGTTTCACCAATACAAAGCAATGAGTGTTCTTTCACCAACTCACGTTGTTCTTACATAATACTTTAAGTAATCATTTAGGGGCCCTTGAAGGACTGCACAGAAAAGAGACTTGGAAGCGAGTTTTCTTTAGTATGCCGAACTGTTCTTTAACCTGTAACCTGAGATCACCTCAAAACCGTCAGCTAATCATGAGGATTTCCATAAACATGTGAATATTATCTGCCTTGAACAGGTGTGATGAAGCTGTGTGACACACTAGCTAGTAAAAAATGTAGGAAATAGGAAAAAGTAAAGCAATTTGTCAGGACAGTCTTTAACCAAGTAAAGAAATAATAAAAAAAAAAAATTCTATGTCATTATTTTTAGTTAATTTAAGTATTTTAAGTTCTCTTTTTCTCTGAAAGTTGCAGTTTATAATTAAGACATAACTGATCGCAAAATGAATGAATCCGTTGAATATATGTCAATCCCCCCATAATCCCATCTGCCTGAGCAGGTGCACACATCAGCCCGTACCTTTGCAGATGCCATATTCATCTCCATAATCATCCTCATCCTTGTAGAAGTCGCAGAAGAGTCCCGGTCCGCACTTGACGCCGTGCATCCCGGCCACGGTGCGGTAGCAGTGCTCTCCCCGTCCCGCGGCGCAGAGCTGGCAGCATCCGCAGTCATCCAGCACCGTGCTCCTGCAGCGCTGCGTCGAGCCGCACAGTGCGGGGTTGCATTTATCCGGGCAGCTGACGGCGTATTTACCAGCGGGACCCCACGCGTCAGTGTCTCCGACCACCATCAGCAGCAACACCGGGATCGCGTACAAACGCATGGCTTGAAGTGCTAGCGAACACCACGCTGGATGCTGTCCTTAGGTCTAGTGCGCTGGGGAGGAGCTGTCCTCTTCTTAGATGCGATAGTGAATGAAACCGCTCGGGCTGCATGACTGTCAGCTTTAAACAAGTTTGTTTTGCACATAGTATGCCCTCGTCAGTTTCCTCAATCCGGTGTTGTTGTCTATTTGCCAGCCTCCCCCCTTCCCTGTTTTAGAAACCCGGCGTGGAAGTGGAATTAGAGCCGTGCTGCCATCCAGGAATTGATGTCACCCCTGAAGTCTGGAGTTGTTTGTTTGAAGGTTTTTCATGATGACCCTCGTGACCCCCACAGCGCCTTGTTCCTGACATGAACGTGCATGAGGAGATGTTTTTGGTAGCGTTAAAAGTGTCTTCTTCTGAGACTTGATTTACAGTAAACAGTTTGGTGAAACAGTTTGCACACAGAAATGCACACACATTTCACAAATAATTACAAAGAAAAGGCAGGTAACACTTCTTCAATAATCTGTTTCATTTACAAGTACTAGGCCTATGTGTGTGTGCGTATATACAGTGGGTACGGAAAGTATTCAGACCCCGTTAAATTTTTCACTCTTTTTTAAAGTCTCTTCTGCTCACCAAGCCTGCATTTATTTGATCCAAAGTACAGCAAAACAGTAACATTTTAAAGTATTTTTACTATTTAAAATAACTTTTTTTCTATTTGAATATATTTTAAAATGTAATTTATTCCTGTAATTTCAAAGCTGAAATTTTAGCATCATTACTCCAGTCATATGATCCTTTAGAAATCATTCTAATATTCTGATTTGCTGCTAAAAAAAAATATATTAAAACAGCTAAGTAGATTTTTTTTTCAGGTTTCTTTGATGAATAAAAAGTTCAGATGAACAGCATTTATCTGAAATAGAAATCTTTTCTAACATTATAAATGTTTTTATCATCACTTTTGATCAAGTTAAAGCATCCTTGCTAAATAAAAGTATTAATTTCTGTTACTTGTTTCTTAAACAGCAAATCAGTATATTAGAATGAGTTCTGAAGGATCATGTGACACTGAAGACTGGAGTAATGATGCTGAAAATGTAGCTTTGATCACAGGAATAAATTACATTTTAAAATATATTCAAATAGAAAGCAGTTATTTTAAATAGTAAAACATATTTCACAATATTACTGCTTTTGCTGCATTTTGGATCAAATAATTGCACACTCTAAAAAAATGCTGGGTTAAATACAACCCAGTGCTGGGTAAATATGGACAAACCCAGCGATTGGGTTGTTTTGACCCAGCATTGGGTTACTACCCAGAAGGTTGGGTTAAACATTTAACCCAACCGCTGGGTCAAAAGAACCCAATCTCGGGGTTTGTCCATATTTTACCCAGTGCTGGGTTGTATTTAACCCAGCATTTTATTTTAGTGCAGGCTTGGTGAGCAGAAGAGAATTATTTAAAAAACATTAAAAATCTTAATGTTCAAAAATTTTGACTTGTATATATATATATACATATATGTAACAAACAGCAAAATTATAACTTTTATTCATTTCTACACTCGAAAAAATGCTGGGTTAAATACAACCCAGTGCTGGGTAAAACAGGGACAAACCCAGCAATTGGGTTGTTTTGACCCAGCGGTTTGGTTAAATGTTTAATCCAACCTTCTGGGTAGTAACCCATCCGCTGGGTCAAAACATCCCAATCGCTGGGTTTGTCCCTATTTTACCCAGCACTGGGTTGTATTTAACCCAGCATTTTTTAGAATGTAATTTTATATATTGTTTAATAACAAGATGAGTGTCTTACATTAATGGGTTCATACAATGCAATATGTCCAAGCTTCAATTTTAATTATTTTAATGTTTCCTGAACAATTTAAAAAAGAGAAAACATTGAAATATTTCTTGAAAGTCATAACGTGGCCCATTTTAGCTGATGGGGTTGACAAACTGAACTTCATAAAATAATCTGGTTCTCTGCAATATTTTTCTTAATTTGACATCAAGATACCATTTATGATGCTTTCAGAAATGTAAATGTTATTAAAACATTGACCTGATTGAAAATGTCGTCTTGAAATAGTCTAATTTTATGACATTTTATTAAGTTTACAAATAAGCATTCGGCTGAATATTAATGAGATTTCTGTATAATATATATCTTGAAAGTCAAACTCTTTGAATACCCTTTCCGGCAGTCAAAGTCCGATCTTGTCGCCATAAATATATAGGCTATATTGGAAAAGAACACAAGAGCATCATACGCTCAGGGGCTGCAATGCAAAATATCCATCAACAGATGTCGCTGTTGCATTAAACAACGGCAGGAGAGTGATGTGAAAGCTTTGCCTGGTTGTTAACGAACTAAACTTAAGTGCATTCCTCACGTAAAGTCATTTTGTGGCGTTGTAATAGAGCACAGTCGTATAAGTGACTTTTTTTTAATACTCTTATGGTGCTTTTTTGCCTTTAACCACCTCCATCCTGACGCTCCCCAGACTCCAGTCCAGTAGTTGGCGGAAATGCACCATAAATTAACCATGGTTTTATTGTAGTAAAAGTGCAGTAACCTTGGTTTTTTTTTGGCGTATTAGTTTCCATTTGTATAACCACACTTTTACTACAAATACCATGGTTAAACTATGGTTAGTCTAGCACAGGGGTGTCCAACCCTGGTCCTGGAGGGCCTACCGTCCTGCAGATTTCAGTTCCAACAAATTCAACTTATTTCATTTCAGCTAGTTAACAAGGCAACATTATATACATTTAAAAAAATAATAATAAAAATGACAAAAACACAAAATTAATAAAACTTAAACTAAAATGAATAGAACAACAGAAAATATATATAATAAATGTAATTCAAAATATTAAAGCATTTGTTCATAAACCAGGTTGTTCTGGTTGTCAGCTGATTTAGCTCACTGACTTAATTTGTTTGGGATTTTGTCCTTAAACATAAAATTATTTATTCAAATTATGCTTTTATTTAATAATGTCAAGCAAAATAGTAAAATAGGTTGGAAAAGTGTTTTGTCAGAGGAAATGGAAGTATTGGTGACCCTGGACCACAAAACCAGTCATAAGTAGAACAGGTGTATTTATAGCAATAGCCAACTATACTTTGTAAGGGTCAAAATTATTTTTCTTTTATGCCAAAAATCATTAGGATATTGAGTAAAGATCATGTTCTATGATATTTTTTTTTTGTAAATTTCCTACCGTAAATATATCAAAACTTAATTTTATTAGGATATTGAGTAAAGATCATGTTCCATGATATTTTTTTTTGTAAATTTCCTACTGTAAATATATCAAAACTTAATTTTTGATTAGTAATATGTATTGCTAAGAACTTCATTTGGACAACTTTAAAGGTGATTTTCTCAATATATATATATATATTTTTTAATTGACCCTTATGACTGGTTTTGTGATCCAGGGTCACATTTTATGTCACTATTCTCGACTTTAAAAAGGTCTCAGTATATTTATTTATTTATTGTAATTCTATTTTTTGTGATAATTTGGGTCGCATTGGGCAAAGCAAAAATCTCAAAGAGATGCAAAAGCGTTTTAAAACGACATGAATATTTAAAATAAAAATGAAAACGTGAACATAAGTTTATAATAATATTTTAATATTTTAATGATAAAATGCTATCAGTTAAATAATAAATAATAATGATCTAAATACTTGCATATTAAATACAGTAATGGTAAATAACGTCTCGTAAACAAAAGCTAGACATAACGGACTCATACGATATAAACGTCATGACGTCATGACACTACGCCGTATGCGTAAAATCCACCGCTGCACGCGCATTCCCGAAAACGAACGCCGCTATCTTTCATGGCAGCAGTTTGCGGAGCGGCAACCTACCCCACTATAAACACCCTCAGCGCGAGATTAGGCGGCATTTCGTCCTCGCATTGCGTAACGGGTGCCGTTTAGTTATATTTAATTCAAAAGTGTGTATGTGTGAAGGTAAATACAGGATATGGTTCACAATAAAGCGCAGGATTCACGTCCTTCTGGTAACGTTAGGCAGCAGGTTTAAAGAGCCTTGCTGGGGGCGGTTGATCTGCTGGGCGTGAATGGCTTAAGGAAGACAGGAGATCGGATCGTTTGGTAAGCATTATATACACTTACACAGTCTTTTTTATGTTTCATTCGACAGTATCCGATCTGATGAATTGTGGGTTGTTGTTTCTGTCGTAACTGATGTGGTTTAATAGTTCATTAAACAGTTGAGCTCGTAATATAATTATGTCCCCACTGGATGCAGCAAATGCCTCGTTTGTAATGGGTTTTATTGGTGTTGTCTCATCGCGCCGGGAGATGGCATCACAGTATGGTAAGGGGCGTAACATGACACTAAAGAGTGACGATGCTGAAAATTCAGCTTTGCCAAAGTAACAATAAAAGACATTTTAAAACATATTATTGTTGGAAAACCATTATTTTAAAGTGTTAAAATATTTCACAAAATTTGAAATAATATATATCCAACACATCTGAACTTCTTGGCGGGAATAACCCAGCTGTTATTCTGTCCTCTAGTTTAATTTGAAAAGCACACCCAACAGCTATCAGATCAACACTAGTTTAAAACTGTATGTTCTCTGATCTATTTTTATACGTGCTCTAAAATTACTATTTGGGTGCATAACTGCCTCTCTCTCATCATTAATAGTAACATGTAACTGAAGATTGTCTATATTTACACCCAGCGCATTGTACTCACGCCAGTATATCTGTTGTAAAGTGGTAAACACCTCAGAGTATAAGCTCAGTGTCTCTTTACACAGTCCGCCACATTAAGGACTTGCTATTGTCATGGTTTTTGTAGGATTAGTCAGAGTTCCCGGGGAATGTTACACTCGTTCCCACACCACCTCCCACATAACTGTGAAGCAACTTTGAGAAGCATCCTTTTTATTTTTATATATAGTGAAACCGTAGACTTAGAACGTAGAAGGTCTGGGTCATGTTGCTCATGGACACTGACCAACGGGAGGTGGTGGTAACTTGCTCGAAGTGACGAGAAGGCCACCGGATTCACTGACGTGAGAGAAACCGAGGCAGGCGTCCAGGTTGCTCAATTCCCAGGCTGATGGTGTGTGGTTCATTCGAGGTCTTAGTCCTGGATTTCCATTTTAGATCATACTGCTTTGCAAGTGTTGGATTCATCATGTCAGTCATTACTGATTGAACGGCTACTGATTTCCAGATATAATCAAGGAAGGTTTCATATTCATATGTTAGCTAATCATATTTTCTGAGACTGAAATATAATATCAAGAGTATGTCTGTCATCCTAACCACTGGAGTTTCCTTATTTCCTCTTTTTATACTCAAAAAATGGAAATAACCCCTCTTTAGAACATTGGAAGTTTGATCAAAAATAAATCTTTATATATAGTGAAACCGTAGACTTAGAACGTAGAAGGTCTGGGTCATGTTGCTCATGGACACTGACCAACGGGAGGTGGTGGTAACTTGCTCGAAGTGACGAGAAGGCCACCGGATTCACTGACGTGAGAGAAACCGAGGCAGGCGTCCAGGTTGCTCAATTCCCAGGCTGATGGTGTGTGGTTCATTCGAGGTCTTAGTCCTGGATTTCCATTTTAGATCATACTGCTTTGCAAGTGTTGGATTCATCATGTCAGTCATTACTGATTGAACGGCTACTGATTTCCAGATATAATCAAGGAAGGTTTCATATTCATATGTTAGCTAATCATATTTTCTGAGACTGAAATATAATATGAGTATGTCTGTCATCCTAACCACTGGAGTTTCCTTATTTCCTCTTTTTATACTCAAAAAATGGAAGTAACCCCTCTTTAGAACATTGGAAGTTTGATCAAAAATAAATCAGTAATATTGTGAAATATTATTACAATTTAATATAACTGTTTTCTATTTTAATATATTTTGAAAATGCATTTATTTTTGTGATTGCAAAGCTGAATTTTCAGCATCCTTTACTCTTCAGTGTTGGTTATATAACTTGACAGCTATGAAAACAAATGATTATCTGTTTGACCAATCAGAATCAAGTATTTCAGAGCATAGTCATATTATTACTGTGTAAAACTTGCATTACTTACTTGCATAGCCATAAAAAGTCAATGCTGGAATAATAAAATGCATAATAAAACTAATGCATCGCATACTCAAACTGAGGTTTTTTGAAATGTCACAGCTCTCAAAACAAGTGGAAATTTTCATTGTTACATCTTCAGATGAAAGCTAACTGTCTCTGAGGTTGGAAAGAGACCCAGAAAGGTGAACCCTGGGTGTTGTCAGGCTGTTTTCATCTTCACATCATCTCATTAGGTTATTTGTAGGCTAGTTACAGCCGCTGGAGTCTGTAATCAGTTTTACACATACTAACTAGATTAGGATGAAGTCTAAACCTTCTGATTAATGAGTCAGAAAGATGTTAGGGCCAAGTAATTCACTGTTTATCTGTAGTGCATGACTATTGTTGTCATCAGTGTAAGTAAGCTGTGCATAAGTCGATGTGTTCTTCATGTTTAATCAAACCGTGCCTCAGGAAAATGACCTTGATTTAATTCTACATATGTTTTCTGATACATTTCTTGCATCCTGACTGGGGAAAACAAGTGCAGGCTGTCAATAAATTTCCTTCAGAAAGATCCTGGAGGAGTGTGTGTCTGTTTTTGGAGGAGAGCTGTTTGTAGTCTGTTTCTGACAAGGATGTAACCACATTCTGGATTGAGAGGGACCAAATATAATAGTAATTTAAAAATGAACCATTGTAATACACATATTGGTCAAAGAATAATTTGAATATTATGGGTGACATGTCCATAGTTTCCAATGGAAATGGAAGATGCACCATAACAAACAAAACTGTGAAGAAGCCAGACATAAGCTCTGTTCCAAAAACCTATTGAGCTGCCTAGAAACTTGACTGGATACATGTAATGCTTCCTTATTTAGTAACAATGAGGCATCTTAGAGGTCAGCAATTGTGGTGCCTATTGTTTAAAACAGCCTCCAGAGTTCAAACTATTTATTTATTTTTATTTTGTAATTATATTTATACATTTAGATTAGATTTAGATAATTAGATAATTTATTTATTAGATTTTGTATTAAAATGTATTTAAATTAAATGTATTTATTAAAGGCACACTTCATCCAAAATTGAAAATTCTGTCATTAATCATCCAAACCCGTAAAACCTTTGTTCATCTTTGAAACACAAATTAAGATATTTTGGATGAAACCTGAGAGCTTTTTGACCCTGCATAGACGGCAACGGAACTACCACTTTCAATGCCCAGAAAAGTAGTAAGGACATCGATAAAATAGTCCGTTTGACATCAGTGGTTCAACCTTAAAGGGGTCCTATTATGCTCTTTA